GATATGCCTTTAATGACACTTATTAATCGTCTAATTGCATCACAGTCATTTTACTTTGTGTTAAATACAGATAACGGTACCAACGGCAATAATCCTAAAGCTCCAAATGGTGACATACCAGCGATATATTTTCTTGGAAAGTTGATTATATCGAATGTTGTATTTATTCCCCACGCTCATCCATCGATACCAGTATATCAAGTGTATGGTACACCTTTCTTCGCATCCAACATATCATATCAAGTTCATAATTTACCACGTTACATAGGCATTGATTACGAAAAGAACCAATCATTATCATGGTATATGGGAGATAACCATATAGATGCATGTAATTTCGGTAAAATAACATTCTGCCATGTTCTACCACCGATTGTTCATCAAAGAATCGAGCACGCTTGTTTAAACAATATGTTCGTTGATAACCAGGATCATACATGTTCGTACATTGAATCGTTGCTGAAATCTCCATATTTCCGAAATATTCACGATAATGTCTGGATAATTTCAGTTTCGGATGATACATACTGTGTAATGGCAACAGAACAAAATGATGAACCAACTCAAATAAATGATGTAAATATTAAAAATTTTGCCATTATCAAACTACCTTGTAAATCTACATTAAATTGTAAACATCAAATATCGTTAAGAAATGCGAACTGTCAATCGTCCATTGATTATTATCTTGCAAGTGGTGGGCATTATTCGAAAAATGATAAATTATTAGAACTGTTGAACATGGACACATTCAACGATTCGATGTTATTAGGCTTTGTGAATGATGCCAATCATATAAATATGATAAGTAAAAATATGTCAAAGATACAACGTGATCAAAAAGACATACAGTTAGAAATAGAACAAAATATACTCAGATTGCCATCCATCAGCAAAAAATTTGGGCTCTCGTCCTCTCTATTAATACTGATTATCGTCGTTTTAATTATTAATATTCTTCTTATTATATTATATGCAAAATATTGTTTAAAGAAATTGTATGTTAATGTGCCTGTTATGTAAAATGAAATCTGGTGAGTATGTCAAACCGTTTTAAAAATAAAAGTTCTTTTCATATTTTATATTTCTACGAATTGCTGTTAGAAAATATTCTTTCTTGTTGTCCAATCATTATCAAGATAAATTTGTTATTCTTTATTTAATGAATATAGGCGCAGTATAACAGAACACATAACAATGTACTTCAAATTTTCTAAACAGAACATTTCACTCTCTTTCGTTTCTTTCTATCTTACTGTTTTTTTTTTCTATTGGTTAAAATTTTAATTATTAAAAAATTTCTTTTTTTGGATTTATTCTTGAGATTTTCTAAATAAAGTTTCTGATGTCGATACAATGTACATTCCGTCAATCTAAAGAAATAATTTTTTATGCACTTAGTTTGATTCTTCCTGGATAAACATAAATAACTGGGACAACTTTTAAAACAAAAATTTTATGCCTTTTTCAACGTTTCAGAAATAATGCTACACTTCTATAAATCTTAATCACTTTGATATATTCTATATACAAAAACATAGAACAGGCTACAAACATGTATTATGAAACAGAAGCTGGAGATGCCGAAGCAAGTCACATGATTCTCGAAGGCTACGTCTCAAAAGAGATACTTTTTTTCGTAAACTCACACTCAGTTTCACCGCCCCGCCTTTGATGTTGTTTGATCTTGCAAAGTCAATTAGGACAGCTTTGTATCTCTTTTGAGAAGTTACGTTCTCGAAGAATACAAAAGTAAATGATTGCGTCTATAGATTGTACTAAAACTTCATATTTATACTTCATATTTCTTTCAATCAGATAACGATGATCTTGAAAGCATACAAATTGCACACACAAACATACGAGAATTTTCTGATCAGGTATGTACAGCCTTTGATATAAACTGCCATGAATTGTCCATTCATCCTTCTCTTCTTTATCCTCGCCGCATGATAGTTAATTCGAATAGAAACCTGGACTTTTTTTTGTTAAAAGAATATTAACTTTTTATCTTAGACACCAAGAAAAATCACGTTGAAAAATCAGCAGTTGACAACGGTGCGAGTACCTGAATTTACTCCACAGGTAAATATTTGGCGTAAGTGCTTGTTCCCTGTTAACTCCGTGTTATTTGTTTGCAATTTAGCAATCAAACAAAAGCCAAATCGTCAAAAAAAGAAATTGGTCTCATACAGATACGTCAAATGTGTTCGAACTTACGCCTGTGAGATTCTTATTTGACTATAGCAAATACTTTTTCTTCTGGCTCAAATCTGTATTAGGTTTGACTAATAATGTTCTTAAAAACTTTCTTTGCATTACACAGGAAACAGTGTCTGCGCAACCAGTAAATGATAATCCACTATCGGTAGAAAATCAAACTACAAGAATTAGGTCGTTCACTATTAATGTTTCCGATTACACACAAAAAGGTATCGAATTAAATGATACTTTAGCCATTGCGGCAACAGTTACGCTGATTGAACGAACTTTAAAGTCGAGGCATAATGAAATATGTAATCGAGATACATTAACAAATGTCATAAAATCTTCAATGAAAAAATTAGTCCAACGCCGAAAAGAAGAAAATAATATATCAGGACAAATGACTCTTCAGTTACCAGTACACAGTGTCGAAGATGACAAAGAAACTGTCAGATTAAAATCAAAAAATCCTGTGAAACTTATTATCAGCAAGACGGGCTGTGTGTTCGATGCAATAAAAGGTGCACTAACCTTAGACCAGCCAATAGCAACAACAAAAGCTACAGATGAGATCGATTTAACAGTAGGTGTTGAACAATCGAATGATAAAAAAAAGAAAGTAAGAATTATAAATGGTTTTGTTTCTTTTTCCTTATATGTAATAATACTTCCTATACAATCTTTAGAAAGCTGGAAGGAAACGAGTACTTAAAGAGGATGAAATTATCGTAAAAATTGACATTTCGTCATTTATCGAAAGAAACGAAAGTCTTAAAAACGAAGACTATATATTACAACTTATTCGATTTGTCATGGAAATTGCAACGGACAATAACTCAACGAGTACTCAACATACAATTGAAAAACAAATAAGAAGTCAACTCAATAAGCTGAGATATACACATAAGCAAAATTGTAAAGCAGGAAAGAAGAAAAAGTCGTTAAACTGGCCAACGAAAGTTATAGCTATTACGCTAGACATTCGACAAAATGAAAAAAAGACACCAGAAACATTCGTTTTCAGCATTGATATGGATGATAACAAAAGCCTTAATAACAGACATTTCAGTTCATTTATTCATGACGACATTAACTGTTCTGGAGATATTATAACTGAAGAAGAGGTGTTTGGTACGAAATCAACGGTTACAATATTATCAGAAGATGATGTACAAGTAGCAATTGATTCTTCCATAGTTTCATATATGATCAACGACAGTATCAAACTAGCGAATTTCATAAGAACAATCAAAAGTCGACTAGTTAATTTAGGTGTTGCTCAAGGTCGTATTAACTGGACAGCAATTCGTCGGTCGCTAATCAGACGTGTTAGTACTATTGTATCGACAGAAGAATTAAAAGCGGGTGAAATCCTCAATCTAACATTTAAACTTATTCCACTAACAGAAGTAACTATTTTTAATATATCCGTAGATATCTGTATTTTTCTTCATCGCTTGATGGTGGTCACTAACATCTGAAAGTACCAGTGATTCTCTCTATATGTGCCATTGAAAAGACAGCAGGCGACTATGCACAAGTAGAATATGGTTTCTTTTTTGTTTGTTTCTAGACCATGAACCTGTCTAATAGGCAAACAAGATTAACGACAAATCCTAATCGTAAATTAAAATTTGATGAATACGATCTACAAGAGTTCATGATCGATACAGAGACAACAATAATGAAAGATGAAAAACTAATGGAGAATCATTATTTTAGAAGATTTCTTCTGTGGAAATTAAAAAACTATGTTTCTGATTCGGCATTTACAGAATTAAATAATTTAGAGGATAAATATAATGTCAAGTGTCCAAACTTCTCCAAAATCCGGCAACTTCGGCAGACATATATCAAATGGCTTCCGTTAAAAACTACAACCTGGGGATCATATATGCACGTAAAACATGCCATTGTGTTATTGACAAACATAAATCCAGAAATACTGAATAATTTAAAAGATAAACGCACATTACATTTTCGTTTATGTCAAGATGGTACTTGGTTCGGCCGGCGTCTGAATTGTATAGTGTCAGCATTAGGCTGGGTGGATGCTGGCGAACATTATCAAAATCCTTTTAATTTGGTACCGTTATCATTTGTTAGAGTAGTGAAAGAAAATCGGGACAATATCGAACAAGCATTAACACCAGATTTTATCAAAATGTTCAAGCCAGGACAAGTAATCGAACTGCGAGGTGTGGAATATAATATCGTCTTTTCATATTCAGCTGATTTCAAAATGGTATCACAGATTATGGGTCTCTCAGGTCCATGCTCATACCACTTTTGTAACTGGTGTAAAATAACCAAAATAAAATTATCAAGTAAGAAATACGAAATATGAAAACTTTAGAAAGGAGCGATCCGCATAAGGCTGGTAATCGGCTCACTTTATTTTTCTCCCCAAAATGATTCTGTGAGTAGTACAAAAGTATTATCAGCCGGTTTTAAGTAATTTCGCGTACTTTTGGTAACTAAATTCGAGTAGTTCTTCGTCAGTAAGGCGTCAGTAGCTCACCCTCAAAGATCAGCTATAGGTTACGTAAAAAGTGTTTTTCGTATGTTTCTTTCACGTAGGCGACTATATAAATATATCATTGGATAATCCCCAAAATTCTGTACGGAATGTGTGTGACATAACAGTTAAC